GGTTGCTATTGCTGGGCAAGTGTTAACTTGCTCTCTCTCTGCTTCCCCAGAGGATCTAGATATTCCTGTCCTCCAGGGTTGACAAAGGTTTTCTCTTCTCTGGGGGTCCTTTGCGATTGGGCAGCTACTGGAGTTGGTCGCCAGGAAGCTGATGCCTCTGGAAGAAGTGAAATTCAAATGCAGCTGAGCCTGCATGCCCCCTCCCCCAGCCATATTCAGGGGTGAAGCTGAGTATTTGAAAAGGGCTCTGTGCCGGGAAGGCCCAGCCAGGCCCCACGGTAAGTCGTGCTTTGAATGGGAATCGTTTCTGCACTCAGTGTTTGCTTAAGAGGACTTGCTCCTGCCCGAACTCGCTGTGCTCCTCACCCTTCCCCAGTCCCTTTCCTGGAACCCGGATGTGTTAGCCAGGAGGGCTGTCACAGTGCTTGTCACCAGGCAGGGGACCTAGGACATGGTGGGGTGAGGGGGCTTTCACATATGTCATCTCCCTACCTCTCTGCTGCCAAGCTGGAAGGCAGACCCAGGATGGGATCGTTACTTGGGTGACCTCCATTTTCACCGTTCCTTCCTCAGTGTTCCTTCCAGCTTACTGGGAAGACTCCATGAGCAGATTGGTCACGGGCGGCCTTCAACTTCTGCTCCTTCTCTGACTGGGTGACTCTTAGCAATCCAAGTATTTGCAGCAGCAGTGATGTGGTAATCGCTTCCTGAGAATGGAATAGGGTTAGGGGGATGTTTAGTTTAGCCCCGACTGCTAAGCCTCATGGGGCTAAGACCCTGGAGGCGTCTCTAAGAAAACATTTTGTCTGCCCTGCATGGTCCGCTTGCCCCTCTGGGCATTTTCCTCTTTCTCCTGCCCTGCATTAGAAAGACCCCTCTGCTCGGTGACCTGTCCCACAGGTCCCGCGGCTCCCTGGCCCCCCTCTCAGGAGTTACCAGGGAGGATCTGGGTGGACCCAGAAGTGGAACAGTGACAGCAGTCAGACCTCTAAGAGGCTCTGTGATGTTGGAGGATGTGGCCGGGGTCTCCGCTGCCTTCTCCCAAGGCCATCTGTGGGTCCAGGATGTGCCGTGAGGCCTGGGGTCTTAGGGTGTTCACATGGGGACAAGCTAGGAGAGCAGTGGGCCTGAGATTTGTGCCCAGGTATTGAATGTGCCCAGCAGGCATGTTTTCTGAGGCTGTGTATGGGGTGGTAGAGGAGAGGAAACGAGGGCCAGCCACCACTCTGTCCCTAAGAGCATCACTGCTCGGTCCTGTTGCCCCACTGGGAGTCTCATGCAGGCCCGCAGATCTGAATTCGGTTCCCTTCACAACACTATTCAGCTCCCCTCCCCCCTGCAGTGGCCTTAGCATTTAAATGGCCTTGGCAAGAAGCCCCATAAGCAGCCCAAGGGATTTGGGCCTGGCTGGAGGGGGGCAGGGATTTAGTGTTACCCCCCACATTGTCCCCTCGTCTTCTGGCCTGGGGTCCAAGGTAGGGTTTCAGTGTTTCAGCTTGAGAGGAGAACTGAAAGGGGTCACAGACTGGGCAGGAACATTGGGGTTCCCTTCCCCCCAGTGGTTTTGGTTGGTAATCCCTGCCAGGGCTGAGCTCCCCAGGGGATCCGCCCCAGAGGAGACCAAACTGCTCTCCTCCCTCTGCCTTACCTCCCCCAGTCCCCGCCCCTGTTTCACTCAGAATGGAATGTGCAGCCTGTGGAACTGGATGGGGTGAGAACGAGTTCCCGGAGGGCCTTGGTCCGGCCCCTGCCCCTCCCCCCCACAGGGGGTGGGGTGCCTTGGGGCTGGGCCCCCACTCTGGTTTGGCTGTAGGTGCCCCTGGTCCTGTGCTGAGTTGGGGCAAGCTAGGTGCCTTGGGGGTCCTGGTCTTGCCATTCAAAGGAGCTGCCAGGGCAGGGGCCTCCAGCCCAGGGGCCAGCAGGCCTCGCAGCCCACTTCAGCGGCCCCAGCACTGTGCTCTACCAACAGCCTTTGTTGACCTTTCTAAAAAAATTATGACTGGTTGTTTTCTTATTTCTTTATTTTTTGTAGTTTCCAAAAGTAGGGCGACGATGTATATGACTTATAATCAGAATGGGAGAATTTAAATATATCTAGAATTGCCAGACAGTGAAACAGGAGTAGTCAGTGTTTTTTCTGCACCAGGAAAGCAAAAAGGGGATCCTGAAAGGTGGGGTAGCTGGAAATACAGGGAGAAGCCTGTAGGATGGTACCTTTCAGGGTAAATTGAGTGGACTCCATGGTCCCCCTGTGAGCTCTGGACTGGGCCTTGTACCTGGGAGGAGGCAGGAGTGGGGATGAAGCCATGACTTAAGGTGCCCTCACTGACTCAAAAGAGCTAACTTTTGCCTGGCCACCTTAGGGGGTGCCCTGTGCACCCCTGGGGGCTGGGGGAGGCTCAGCATGGGGGTGAAGGTCTGGCAAACCTCTATGCCCCACCCCCCAGCCTTATAAAAGGAACCTGAAGTCATCCACCCATCTCCTGTAGGCTTTGCTTTGGCCTGTTCCTGAGGGGTTGGGGTGGGGTAGGGAAGAAAGGGAGAATAGAAGGCTCGTGGGGAGGGGAGGAAAGGAAGCCTCTGCAGGTACTACAGGCTCCCAGACAGGTGGGTGAGGGGAGTGGGGAATGAATAGGTGCAAGCAGAAGGGAGGGGCCCCCCAGTCCCTGCCTTTTCTCCAGTATTCCTGGCTCTCCCTTTCTTGGGTGGTGGAGAATGGTGTTGTGTGTTGTGTGTTGTGCGTGTGTGGGGCAGCCAGGCTGGGGCCTGTGCTCTGAAGACCTTGGGCAGCACCTCTGGCCCTTTGGGGGACCAGGCGGTGTCTCTGAAAGCCCCAGGGAGACAGTGGGGACATGACCAATATGAAGAAGGAAAGGGGAGCCAGAACTGGAGGAAAAGAGCCAGAGCCGCCTAGTGCTGGGAGAGGCTGAGGGGGCTCCTCTGACCCCTCCTCCCTGAGCTCCGGTCCTTCAGGGTCCAGTGCCCATGTGGACTGGGGTTTCCATTCCAGTCTACTGAGCCATCTCTCCCTTCACCCCCTCTCCTCTCTGTGCACTCAGTTTCCTCCTGTGTCACTGTGAGCAGAACCCCATCTCACCAGGAGTGGATGATGTGGGGGAGTCAGGCTGGAATGAGGGTCCAGAGAAAGAGGGGGTAGAAGGAGCCAATAGGGGTGTCCCCTAGCCGGACACCTCCCCAAATAAGGAAGGCCGCCTTCCCTCTTATTTGGGATAAGAGATTCAGCCTTCACTCACCTTACCAGGGGACAGAAGAAGGGGTCCTGTGTGGCACTTCGCCTGGGGTGCAGGGGTAGCAGGGGAGGGCCTGAGCTTGACTGCTGCCTGCCAGAGACGGGTTGCAGTAAGCCTGCTGTCTCCACACTGGGTCGTAAAGGGGTTGTGCTGTGCTAGGCCTGTCAGGCCTGCCAGGACCAGCTCGGAGTTTCGGGACCTGTGGCTTTCATGATGTAGGTTCCCCTCTCGTCTACTAGCTCACGTGGTCTTAGGTCCACGTTCCTCAATATGACACCCCCAATTTGGAGGTGAGTTTTTATGTCACCCTTTCCTGGAAATTAATTTAAAAGCTTGGGGAGCAAGATTTGAGGGGTGGGCTTGTGGGAGAGGATGGATGTAGGTGGGTTGGGCAGTTTAGAGAGGGTCTGTGGCGTGGGTCTTCACCAACCTCCAGGGGTCAGTCCCATTTGCAAGGCAATGGGACTGGTTGAGTTGAGGTGCTCTGAGATGGAGCAGGGAAAGGGGGGGGCGGGCATATGGGAAGGAGAGGAGCTCCCTGCCCCAGACAGCATCCCCCCCAGGCCCTGGCCCTGGCCTTCAACCCACGGGGTCTGTTGATTGCCTTCCTTGTCTCCTATCCTGCCATCAAAATGCACTCATCCCTCCTCCTGCAGAACTCTGCCCTTTGATCTCTGAGGAGATAACTGGTAAATCGAGTTTACTAATCTAAGTTCATGTACTGCTGGCAAGTTAACAGGTAATTCCTGAAGCACATGAGCCTTTTAACCAGCCACAGGCCTTATTAATAATCCAAGAGGTGACTGTCAAAGTGGGAACCTGGGGTGGAGGTGGAGTGGATGTTCGGGCCTGTGGGGGCCTGTGCCCTTCACCCCTGCACTCCCAGATAGGGAGGGAGTGCCTGTCCCACAGCAGTACCTGCCAGGCTGGAGGATCAGATGGACCAGCGCAGCCCTGACTCAACCAGAGGAAGATAAAGAAGAGCAAATGATCAATTCTTAAATTGGCTGACTAGAAGTACAGGTGGGGAGGCGCAGGTTGGAGCATGATGAGAGCACCCAGGAGGGACACCACAACCAGATCTGAGCAGTCAGGGAAGGCTTCCTGTAAGAGGAAATATAAGAACTTACAGGGTGAGGAAGAGACAGCTTGGCAAGAATCAGTCAGAGAAGAGGTTATCAGGACAGATCTCTCCATGTCTCCCAGGGACTCTACCTGGCCCCGGCCCTCGCCAAAGACCCTGGTGGCTTCGGGACTTTTCGGGGGAGGGTAAGTGGTGAGTACTCAAAGACTGGTTCCCCCTGGCATCTGGAGGCCAATGTTTAGCTCGGAGCTGTGCATGCTGGCCCAGAGTGGTGTGTGTGCGCATGCACTCACATGCATTGGGGCGTGCGCTGCTGCAGTGGGCGTGTGCTGCTGCGGGTTCCAGTGGACTCGGCACAGTGCAATGTGTGGCCCACCTGTCCTGGGCTGGAAACCCCAGCCTCTTCCAGGCAGCTGCAGGGGGCGCAGGACAGCACAGGCCAACTGCAAATTAGCCAGACTGGCGTGAAATGCCTTTGCTTCTCTCCTCCCCTCTTGTCCCTCCCTGCCCTCCCAAAAATCAACAACTGTGTCAACAGCGGGGTGATTGTGCTTGGCCAGCAGCCTTCAGGGCTGCCAGGACCGGGCAGGTGCTGGCAGGGGCGGCTGGAGCCCCACGCTGGGCCTGGCTGCCAGGGCTGCAGGATAAACAAGGCCGCACACAGGCTGGCCGGGAGGGAGGGCAGGAGGGAGGCCACAGGCAGGCAGGAGGGAGAACAGGTGTCTCAGGAGCACTGCAGACACAAAGGGCCTCTTGTCTCCTCCCCAGCCTGGGAGCAGCCCCCCTCCCTCCTGTCTCAGGCCCAGCCCCGTGTCCAGTGGCCAGGTCAGCCAGAGGATGCTGGGAATGAGGAAAGGGCAGTGCCACCTTCCAGACGCCCCCTGCCTCTTGGTGCTTGTTTTTTCTTGAGACAGAGGTGCAACCTGTCCATCCTGGGATTGGGCACACTGGCCATGAGGCCTCTGTGGGTCCATGTCCTGCTGGAAATACAGCAAGACCCCTCCCTCCTACTGGGGTGCCCAAGGCCAAAATGGGAAAAGCACCTGGAGCTTTTGGGAAGAAAGAAGCGCTGAATATTGGGAGTGATAGAAGGTAGGGCGAGAAATGGGGAGACCTGGGCTATGGGGCTCGATGTAGGGTTTCCAGATGGGGCTAGGGACTGTGGTACAGCTGTACCCTCCTCCCTCTGTACCTCTTCATGAGGCAAGCCTTTCTGGAGCACCCACTACGTCCAGGCTCTGCACGAGGGTCAGGGACAGCAAGGACAGACAGACTCACACCCACTGCCTGTGTGATCTTTTTTTTTGTTTTTTATTTTTTTAAGATTTATTTATTTACACATACAGAACTGGGTGTAGGCCAGAGGTGTGGGGGTAGGTGAGAGGATTCACCAGAGACAGAGCGGGGAGCAGAAAAGGCAGATTGACTGAAATACACTGCTGAGGGGAGCAGCGGGCGAGACAGCAGAGGTCTGCTGCGCCATGTGTGTTGCTCCCTGGCAGGCCAGGGATTGAACTCTTGCTTCAGAGGCTGCGGATAGCTTAATAGCACTGTCTTTATCCCCTTGCGCCACCAGGGAGGCCCTGCCTGTGTGTGATCTTGGGTAGATAACTGAACATTAGTTTCCTTATCTATAAATGAGGTTGGTAACAATAGAATCTCCTTGTGGGGCTGTTGAGTGTGTGAAGAGATGATGGCTGTTTTGTGGTAGGCCATGCAAGAGAAGGCCCTTACTGTCCCTTCCCTGAGAGAGAGAGACCAAGGGCTCCGAGGTAGCCAGAGCTTGGGAGGCAGCCATGTAAGCACCTGCAGTCCAGTCAGCTACTGAGTTCAGTGATGGGTAAAGGCTCTGGGATGCCCTGGAGAAAGTCAGCTCTTCTAGGATGGTTAGGGCGAGACTGATAAAGAAAAGACATTTGAGCTGAGCTTTGAGGGAAGTATAGGAGTTTTCTGGTCAAGAATGTAGGAAGGGCCTTCTAGGCTGGGGCACCACATCAGCCAGAGCCGGTGTTTTTGTGCTGAAGTCTGTGCGAATGGCAGCTGGAGGACAGCCTGGGCCAGGCCCAAGGGGGTCCTTGTGGCCTCAAAGAAGCAGGCTCACCTCCTGCTTGCTCCAAAGTTGGGCGCCAACTTTGATGATCACTGGGTGTCTGGTCCCTTCTCCTCCCCACATAATACATTATGCACAACTCAGTCTCCGGCACAGTTGTCAATTTGTAGAGAGGTGGTATAGTTTATAGTTTAGTGAAAATACCACAGCAAAGTTCTGAATTTGAAACTTTGGCATTTTGGACCTCAACATTGGGTCACTTACCTAATTTCTTTCTTTTTTAAAGATTTATTTTATTTCTACAAGTGCTGGGGCACAGGCCAGATGTGTGGGAGGGTGAGAGGATTCACCAGAGACAGAGCAGGGAACAGAACAGGCAGACTGAGGAAATACACTGCTAAGAGGAGCAGCGGGCGAGGCAGGAGAGGTCTGCTGCACCATGTGGGATTCTTGCCAGCCGGCTGGGATGGAATAGGCGCTGCAGAGGGTATGGACAGATTCACAGTGCGGCGCTCAACCGCCTGAGCCACCAGGGAGGCCCCACTTACCTAATTTCTGTGAGCCTTGTTTTCCTTGTGCGGAGATTGGGATAATGGGATCTCCCTGTGGCAGGGTTGCTGTGGGAATTAGAAAAAAGGGGTGCCAGGGGCTGCTGTGCAGTGCGGGCTTGCCCATGTCCTAAACCTTGCTGGGCCTCGGTCTCTGTATCTGTGTCATGGAAACAATTGCTTATCTTCTCCATTTGAGCTGATGATTTTCCAGCCAGGTTGTCCATTTCCTGGGTAGGTCAGCCAGGCCGGGAGACCCATGTCCAACAGGGCCAGGTGCTAACCTCTCCTGGGCACTGGCCGTGCCTGCTGGGCCGACGTGGAGGGAGCTGACTCCACAGTGACTGTTGCCAGTGCTTGCAGCCCAGGAGCTGCTCGCCGGGCCTCAGGCAGTGGGGTCTTGTCCTGCAGGGACCTTCACATCTTCCTCGCACTGCTATGTTGGTGTTTGGGGGCCAGTGGGCAACTAGGTCAGTGGGCACCAGAAGAGAGCAGGCCCTGGTCTAGCCTGTGTGCCCGTCAGGATGTCACTTCACCTCTTGGAATGTCGTTCTTCTCATTTGCAACTTGGGAAGGACCATTTTGACCTTTCCTTGTTGCTGTGACCAGATGAGGACGATGGCCCCAGCCTGGCCCCAGCCTGCACCAGCACGTGGCTGGCCCCTCCAGGGTGCCTCCTTCCGTCTCAGTGCTGCCTCACTCATGAAACCTTGTGATCAGGAAGGGCAGAGCATCTAACCCACGTTTAGTGGCTGAGGAAACTGAAGCTTGTCCACATGGACGGGCGTCCTGGTCCCACACTGGCTGTGGGTCTGCAGGGATGGGGCTGGCCCTTGCAGCGCTGACCTGGTACAGACACGTGGAAAACCCCTGAGATCTTGCTGCAGGGTCCTGATCTCCTGCCATTGGTTTGAGGAATTGCGATGAGAAGAGCTGGGGCTTCAAGGAATGTCTGGAGCCCACTGGGTCCCTGACAGTTGTGGGGAGCCCATCCCGAGACCAGATCTGGGAGGACAGTGACGTTGGCAGAGGCCACAACTCCCGCACTTGCCACCTGGCCATGTCCAGTGCGAGGATATTCTCTTCCCCTCTGTGTCCACTTTCTTCAGGTGGCCACAGGGAGGTGAGGCCAAGGAGAGAAGTTGGAGCCAAGAGATCATGCTGGTGGGGCTGGGGATAGCACTCAGGCCCCAACAGCATGGTCAGATAGCTTCCTAGATGGCCCTGGAAACTGGGTAAAAGAGGGCTGGAAAGAGCAGCAGGGACACTGGATTTTTCCAAGGCCATGTTCATATTTACATGTGATTTGCATAAAACCAAGATCCAGAACACAATTTTATAACCTACCTCAGGCATGTTCAGATGTGCCTTTTACTATTGTCTCTGCCAAAGATGGCTGCTTCTGGCGCTTTGCTCTTGTCTGCACCTTCTCACTCCTGTCCCATTGTCCCCCTGACCCCTGTCACAGAGGGCAGGTGACTGGGAGCTGGGAGTCAGCTTCGAGCTGGGAGTCAGCTTCGGGTCATCCTGCTATCGACCCGCCCTCCCTGGATCGAGCACGGGTCCGCCAGCCACGCCACTGCCCTCCGGCAGGGTCACACAGGACCCCACCTCGGCCTTCACCCTCCTCACCTGTGAACCAGGAGCAGGCTGCCTTCCCGCGCAGGTGCCTGGTGCTTGGCACTTACAGGTGCTTAACAAATCTGAAAATAAAGGGAAATTGGACATGGAAAGAGCATTGGAAAGCAAAGCTGCACTGTGTAGGCACCTGGGGACCTGGCTTTTGTGCCCGGAGGGTGAGGCTGTGGGGTAAAATCAGCCTTGGGGGCCTGGGGCGGGTTGAGGAGACCATTTCCCTCGCAGGCATGTGGCCCAAGGAGACACTTCTTTCTCTTCTGGGCCTGGTTGGAAATTGTGTTGAGGATGAACAGGGGCTTCTGTTATTTTTTTTTTTTTTTAAAGATTTATTTATTTAGGGCCTCCCTGGTGGCACAGCGGTTGAGCGCTGGGTTGCGAAGCTGCCTGCAGCCTCTGCAGCGCCGGTTCGATCCCCGGCTGCTCCCCGGCCACCAGAGGAGGGTCCCACATGGCGCACAGACCTCTCCTGCCGTGCCCTCTGCAGTGTGCTTCAGTCCTTCTGCCGCTCTGCTCCCCGCTCTGGCTCTGGTGAATTCTCTCACCCTCCCACGCTTCTGACTGTACCCAGTGCTTGTATAATAAAATAAATGAATGAATAATAAATACATAAAAAAAAAAGAAAAAAAGATTTATTTATTTATGCATACAAGAACTGGGGTACAGGCCAGAGGTGTGGGGTTGAGAGGATCCACCAGAGACAGAGTGAGGAACAGACCAGGCAGATCGACTGAAATACACTGCAGAGGGGAGCAGCAGGCAAGACAGGAGAGGTCTTCTGCGCCATGTGGGTAGCTCCCTGGCTGGCCAGGGATCAAACTCACGCTGCAGTGTCTGCGGATAGCTTCATAGATTGCGTCTTAACCCCTTGCCACCAGTGAGGTCCCGCGTCTGTTATTTTTTAGAATAAGAATCTGTTATTAGCAATTTATGACATCTAGGTCCCCAGCCAAGCACATTCTGTTCTCCAGTGTTGGGGTTCATGTCGAGAGCGGGACAGGAAGGAAGATGGGTTGGGTGGCTTAATGGCTGGGTGGGTGGTGTCTCAGCCTGTGGGGGGGACCGTTTCAGCATGGACTGAATGGAGCCCAGCCCTGTGTGGGAGAGGGCCTCTGGGGACCATGGCCTCCCAACGTGAACTCAGATGGCTCCTGTAAGTGGGGTGAGCAGGCTCCGCTCCCACACTCATGGCCACTGTGCTTCGGGCTTCAGATTTGTCTCTGCAATGGGGTCTGCACACCGACATCGGAATGGAGACTCACCGTATAGTTTCTCGGGGTGCCGGGGCGTAGAAAGACACCTGCCAGCAAAGGAGGGCAGCTGAGATGACCCCGGAAGAGGGGGAGCAGGCGGGATGGACCACCCCTGTGGAAAGAGTGGCACACAAGTCAAACAACCCCTTTCTGCGGAAGCGCTGAGCTGGTGGAATTCAGCTCGTGGCTGAGAGATCGGGGCAGGAGATAGTGCTCTGGGGGTGCCGGGGCTCTGTGTATGCCTGCTGTTGTGTCGGGGTCCTGGAAGGCAATGGAGAGGGCTGGAGCGGCACCCACCGCATCCCCTCCACCAGACTGGCCTAGAAGCTTCCCTGCGCTCATCACCAGATCCCATTCCTGGAGGCAGATCCCTTTCCTCCGTCTACCCCTCATGTAAGTTGGCCCATTGTTCCCTCATTCCCCTCAACTGTTTGGCTTTGACTAGAAGTAGCCACCTTAGCAATTTGTCAAGGGTAAGTGTTTCCTGGGGTACCTTGGTGTCAAAGGGCAGACAACTTTGCAAAGGAGACTTTCCAGTTCAGGGATGGTGGTACCTGATGCATTAGGAGGAGTATACCCCCATCCAGGCCTCCAAGCTGTGGTAGG